TTCTAATATTGCCTCTATCAACATAAACTGCTACTAATATCGTCACTCAAACAACTCATAGCATTTAATACACATGGTACAGTTAAATCACTCAATTTACAACTTTATATTAACTCTTCTTCTATGACTTTATAAAGTTTTAGCATTATATTATATTTGGTTCATTTGATGGATACACATTGACTTACCATACTTGCAGATCATTGAGAGCCCCTGGGCCTCGAATGCTCTAAAACTAAAGAAAATCTATCAACGAGCCCAACGCCTCGATCCGACTCACTTTGGACATCGAGCGCCCAGCACCTTTATCCCAGCGCCATGATTAGTCAATCGAAGGACCCAGAGCCTCAATCTGACTTGGACATCGAGCGTCCAGAGCCTCTGTCCTAATGCCTTGTTTAGTCAATCGACGGACCCAGAGTCTCGATCTGACTTGGACATTGAGCGCCCAGAGCCTCTGTCCCAACGCCTTGTTTAGTCAATCGACGGACCTAGAGCTTCGATCTGACTTGGACATCGAGCGCCCAGAGCCTCTATCCCAAGGCATTGTTTAGTCAATCAACGGACCCAGAGCCTCGATCTGACTTGGACATCGACCGCCCAGAGCCTCTGTCCCAACACCACAATTAGTCAATCAACGGACCCAGAGCCTCGATCTGACTTGGACATCGAGCGCCCAGAGCCTCTATCCCAACGCCACGATTTGTCAATCGACGAACCCAGAGCCTTGATTTGACTTAGACATCAAGCGCTCAAATTCTATGTCCCAACGCCTTGTTTAGTCAATCGACTGACCCAGAGCCTCGATCTGACTGGACATCAAGGCAGAGCCTCTGTCCCAACGTCTTGTTTAGTCAATCGACGGACCCAGAGCCTCGATCTGACTTGGACATCGAGCGCCCAAAACCTCTATCCCAATGCCTTGATTAGTCAATCGACAGACCCAGAGCCTTGATCTGACTTGGACATCGAGCACCCCAAAGCCTCTGTCCCAACGCCTTGTTTAGTCAATCGATGGGCCCAGAGCCTCAATCTGACTTGGACATCGAGCGCCCAGAGCCTCTGTCCTAACGCCACGATTTGTCAATCGACGAACCCAGAGCCTCGATTTGACTTGGACATCGAGGGGCCAGAGCCTCTGTCCCAACGCCATGATTAGTCAATCGACAGACCCAGAGCCTCGATCTGACTTGGACATCGAGAGCCCAGAGCCTCTGTCCCAACGTCTTGTTTAGTCAATCAACGGACCCAAAGCCTCGATCTGACTTGGACATCGAGCGCCCAGAGCCTCTGTCCCAACGCCTTGATTAGTCAATTGACGGACCCAGAGCCTCGATCTGACTTGGACATCGAGCACCCAGAGCCTCTGTCTTAACGCCTTGTTTAGTCAATCGACGGACCCAGAGCCTAGATTTGACTTGGACATCGAGCGCCCAGAGCCTCTGTCCCAACGCCACGATTTGTCAGTCTATGGACCCAGAGTCACAATTTTATTTTTTCCTTTAGGAATCTCGAAAGATTTCTCATTTTCTTTTACGATTACAACACATCATTCTATGCCCGACTAACATTCTACTTTCTACGAAGCTCACTCGCGCGGGGGGACTACCATACTGTTAGTACCTGTATATTTGCGGTCCACATAATAGCAACATATCATCCACAGATGGCCATAACCTCGACATAGAATCAAGCCCGAAATCATCGAGCAACCCAGAGCCTTGAATGAGCTATCATAAAAGTTAATCAAGTGACCTAGGGCATCAATCAGACTTCACCATTCGAAGTCCATCGAGCAACCAAGTCCCGAACTGTCACTAGCCGATCGACGGACTCCTCCTCGATCCAACTTCCATCGAGCGACCCAGAGCCTCAGACTTAACTCAAGTCCATCAAGTGACCTAGTCCCAAACTGTCACTAGTCGATCGATGGACTCCTCCTTGATCCGACTCCCATCGAGCGACTCAGAACACTTACCCAAGATGAAATGCCTCATCTGAGGACACACCTTACTGCTTAAAACTTTTTCTCATAAATTTTTTTTCTTCCTTCTAAGAATCTCAAAATATTCTCCCTTTGTTTATATAATGAACATCATTTTATGCACGACTAACCTTTACCTTTCTACGAAGCTCACTCGCGCAAGGGGGCTAATGTTGATACCTATATTTCGAGTCCACATGGTAAACGCCACATCATCAACAATGGCTCACACAGCTTGGTTAAAACGGTCAACGAGCTACGCCACATCAGTAGCGATGGCCCACATAACCTAGTCAACGGTCAAAGTTGCCACAGCATCAACATGCTTTGAATAGAAGAACGAAGACCTGAGTTGGGAGCATGACTCAGGATTCCTTGGGATCTGAGGAGGTTTTGGTTTAGTGGCTGAAATCCAAGGTTCGCCGAGTCGACATTCGACCTGACTTGCAGAGAAAGATACCATTTTGACTCCCGAGCATTTGACTCCATCTTATTTAACATGGCTTTATAATTATTTGAGAAATTAATCTCTTTTAATTATTTTGTCAATGGACCCACATGTGATGTCATCAATGACATCACCCACCCTCACTTGGCCTATAAAAGGAAATGACCTAAGGCCAAGAAAAGGGGGCAGACAAACAAGGAAGGAAAATTCCTCCTAGACCGAGAGCTCTAAGCTCTCTCTCTCTCTCTCTCTCAGAATGGGTTCTCTACACAACCCCTAAAGTATGGATCAAGGAGTCAATGGTGTTCACACATATATACTGCCATCTCTCTCTCTCTTGTTTACTTGGGCTTCCACCTTTCTCAATCCACCTTGGATTCCATCATGTTGCAAGATTTACCTCACCATTTGTTACTTTGTGATGATCTGGAACCCACCTGAAAATCAAGTACCTACAGAGACAACAATAGAAAATATACAAACAAGTATTAACATGCCTAATGTATGAAATATATGGCAAAGATGGGTCAGCTATTTCTCAACATATGAAATGAAGTGCCTCCCATTATTCTTTTTTGGCTTTTGTGCAGTTGTTTCGGGATGCCCTCTTGAGGGCTCTTTCAATGATATATACAAATAATTATAAATTTAAAAAAAAATAAAAAAAAAAGTGCCTCCCATCGCCTCAAGACACTTAAACATGAAAGTGCGCCACCAAGTTTTTAGCTCAAATTGTACCTCCTCATCCACCCATATTGGTGATTTAACTGGAGTCCCCTTTGGTCTTTGCTGCATAGTGTGCTTTTGCATGCTACACTTATATATATATATATATATATATATATATAATCCCTTGAAAGCTTGTTTGTGAACCCATCATAACAAAAGGAAAATTGGCTCACTTAGAGGAAAAATCTATCCCAATTCTCAAAGTTAACAAATTAATTGAGAAAACTATTTTTCATACATACGTTAATAGCATGAAAACTCGGATGTTTTGGGTTCGATTCCCACAAAACCCAAAAGTATCCGATTTAAATGACGTGTGGTTTGTCAGTGATTGCACATATCCGGAGTTTACAACCCATCCAAGAGTCTAAAGTGGCTAATGGGCGAGTTGATTCTTTGTTACACAAATAAAATAAAATAAATACACATGCACACTGATATATATGTGAAAAACAAAATTTAACAGTCTCTATTTACAATGTAGCAACTGACAGGGCAAGAACTGAAAATCCACAACACAAAAAGTTTGATCATTCAAGATTACAGGCATAATGCGCATGCACATCTATGATCCCAATCAAGGTCACTAGAACCCTAATTAGATAATTAAGTTTTAAGATGACTCTAATAAAAAGCAAATGCATAACACACGTGTATACATGAAGAAAAAGGAAGAGTTAAGTGCGAGAAAGAGCTCACCTTTGACGATTGAGTACTGAGAACCTTTGCAAGCCCTCTCTGTGTGTACTGTGTGTGTAGGTTTTTCCCTCTTCGTTGAATACCTCTCTCTCGAGAACAAATTAAGCTCTCTGTTTCTCTCTCTAGAGAATCTCTCTCTCTCTCTCTCTCTATATATATATCGAGGGAAGCAGTCTTTCTGTGTCATTGCGTCATCGGAGTCTCGGAGTGGTACGTCCCAACCAAGACTCCCTCTTCAGATTTTGGCGATATGCTTTGTAAATTTAGGTATACGACGTCGTTCTCATTGGGCTTATAGAATAAGGCCCAATTAGAAATTAAACCAGAGTGCTCGCCACTGCTAGTGGCCCAATTACAATGGAACAAATTTTGGCCGAGTCCCTCTCCATTCTAGTTTTAAAAATTACAAATCAAAATCCTTTTTTCAAATGTTTTATTCAAATATTTTAAAACTTATATTTTGGAATATCAATCAAATAAACATGCTTTCTAAATTTTACATAATTCTCTCAATAATAAAGATAATTTTGTATTTAATATAAGATTTAAGATTATATATTTTTTTGGATGTAAAAAAAGAAAAAAAAAATGATAAGGATTTAACTACCATGGACATTATTGTAGTTCGAATTCATGAGAGCTTCACACTGACATTTTACATAAATATAGGATTCAATCACATCAGCTAATTAAAAAAAATATATAAAAAAAATTATTTCAAGCCTTTTTGTTAGTAAATGTGAACATTTTCATTACAAAATGATGTGATACACCATCATTTGTAAATTTGTATTATAATTAGGTGTGAGATTCTTAATATGTATTTCATTTGTATAATGTACACGGTGTTGTTTATTGGACATGTTTTCCATTAAATCCATATTCAACCAAAAAGGAAAAAAATGGTGTGAAACTCTATTTTAATTGTTCAAATTTATTAATCTCGAACTCATAAATTAATCTCGAGCCATTATTTTAATATTCTATTATATCTTACACTTTTTATGCTTTTAAAAATATAGAAGTTCGATTTTTGACTAATTGATATAATAATTGTTGAACCAAGGATTTTAGAAATTTAGATTAATTTTTACATGTGTCTACTTGGAGTATTTTCACTCAAATCGAGGTTGTGTTAAAAGTTCTTTTATTTTATTTTTTATTCATCTTTTTTGAACTGGGAGTGGTATTGAATGTCTTAGAACTGGGAGTGGTATTGAATGTCTACTTACAAGGAATAACTACCCAAACATTTCATAAAATGCCCTAAGGCGATTCGAACTCCCGACATACTCGCATTGAAGTGAAGATCTTTGCACCAGGGAATTGAGCCTGTTCTGTGTAGAAATCCACAGAGAGAGTATTAAGGGCCGAGCTGTGGGAGGAAGAAAGAGTTTAAAGCACTTGTCTCCTCCTCTGGTACGTAAATTCTCGGAATTCAATTTATTTTTCTCACCTATTGAATTACATACACATACACTGTGTATATACCTGTAGATATTGCTTCGTAACTTGAAACGGAAAGAAAAAATTCACACCATTTCAAGAAATCAATCGATAGAAATTGTTGGTTAATTTATTCGTATCACACATGAACCAGAAAAACTCATTTTTACTGTTTCTTCCCTTAGATGGATGTCTACTGCCAGCTTTTGCTTCTTTCAAGTATTTGAATTGATTTAATTGGATATATATGTGTGTGTATATGCAAAGATATGCTTGAATCAACTTGGAATAAGAGTCAAAATGAGGGACAACTTGAAAAATATATGGATGCGGAGGAGATTTAGCGGAGTATTATTTTTTTGTTCTACACAATTTGAGAAGTAGAATACTGTAACAAGAGTCAAAATGAGGGACAACACAGAAAAAAAATTAGATACTGTATTTCAAAGAGTGGCCTCAACCATTTACCAATGAACACAGGATATATATATATATTATATAGAGAGAGAGACAGAGACAGAGACAGACAGAGAGAGAGTGGGGTTGCCTTCCTCCCAACATTCGCTCGAGGTCCTTGAGACTGACTCATATGCGGCATGCCAATTGTGAGTTTGTCTCTGTGGTTCCCTTAAATTCATTTACTCTATTTTACTTATCAAAAAAAAAAAAAATCATTTACTCTATTTTTTTATTATTTTTTGTCCCCTTGTTGAATTGCTGTTATAGTTATTTGATTGAGACTAATATAATTGGTTTTCTGTTTTTTTTTTTTTTTTTTGGTAATTTAGTTGGTTTCTTTCTTTGTTGAATGGTTGTTTGCCCTAGTTATGCGAGGCCACATGATAATGTCATCTTAGTGAGGTTCTCTGAAAATTCAAAATGGAATAGGTTCTTGGGGTTTTTTTTTTTGGCTGGAATTTAATTTTATTTATTTATTCTTTGGGGAAAAGTAAAGAATTTCATCAAAAACTCGAAGAACAAGAACAAATCTTATGGACATCCAACAAATCAGAACAAACAAGAAAAAACATGAGCAGCCAACCAATGGGCTGCAAAATTAAACTCCCTAGGAACATAATCAAGCCCACTATTCAGAATAGCTCTAAGGAGGTCTACGATTTCTTCCACAATAATTTGCACAGTCCAAGGAGCACAAACTTGACCATTAATTGCCTTAACCAAAGTGCTAGAATCACATTAAAAAATAATAGATTCAAAGCCCCAGTCAAGGACCGAGATCAAAGCTTGCCGCAATGTCTCCACCTCAGCTGCAAGAGAGTCTGACATAAACAGCATCTAAATTTATTGGTTTTCTGTTTTCTATATAATTTAGTAAAGTTACGTTCTATCTTCTTTCTCCAAATACTCATCATTTTTCACCAATTTACATAACCTATCAGGGATTTGTTAAGTTTGGTCCCCCTCCCCTCCCTCTTTTCCTGCTTTTGTCATAGTTCTGCTTTTCTTTTTGAACTTGTGCATTATAGGAATTAATAAAAATAGAGTATCAATTTTTATGTATGATGCATGTCTTTGTGATTATGTATTGCATTCTAAACAATGCATTTACTTGGAGCTTCATAGCGTATAATTGATTATTCCTACTCTTAAGGACACTACTGTGGCAGACTAACTAAAGTGATTTCCTTTCTCGAGAGGTTAACTAAAGTGATTTTCTTATTGCTGATTGGTTTGCATGGCAGCTTCTATTCCAACACATCTTCAAATGAAATCCATCTATAATTACTTTGCACTTTTTATTTATTTATTTATTTAAACGGATTGCTTGTGTACATGTACTTCAAATAGTTGTTTACAATGTCAGTTCGCTACTTGCATACTTGTGTTTTTTTAAACTAGGACTTTTAACTTTTAGTTTTTGTTCTGTTTTGGGAGGTGAGATTATCATATGTTTTGAAGTAAGATACAATAACTTTGGTCCGTGGTTGATGTCTTCTATTCTTCAGGTGTGTGCGGATGGGAAGCTGATTAGCTGTTCACACAGGAGGAAAGTGAGCATTAAGATTCTATGTATGCAAACCACCTTCGAGTTAGCAAGCCACCTTGGCTTACTCTCTCTAGCACTACTGTTCCAGGCACGATTACGAAGTCAAAGTTCCAATGAATGGCAAGTGCTCTGGCCGGCCATTTCTTTGAATCCATGGCACCTAGCAATCATTTGGTTTGGGTAGATATAGCGTTCCCTCTCGACTTTGGCTTCTTTCTTTTTTTTAACCATAATTTCACATTTTATATATTTATTTTTTGTTTATTCTTTATTAGCATAACTATTCTGGAAGCCAGCAAACAGGGTGCAGCATAGTACATGTACACCAGATCTCCCAAAAAATTAAGCTTTATAGGAAGAAGTCATACCTATCACCTATAAAATTTACAAAAGAACCTAAAGAATTCAGAATGAACCAATAAGCCAAAAATAAACAGAGATTGTAAATATGCCTATTCCTCTCCTTCCGGCAAACCACATAAGATGATGGCTTAAAGCTCTTAAAATATTAGTTCACCTAGCCACACAATCCCCTTCTATTAGGGAAATTCAACATTACACAGACATGAAATCATCAAATTTGTGCATTTGAATGAATGTAGGTTGATTCATTGAGCATGTTTATTTAGCTTATTTCATGGTATGCCTCATCTCATTATCTAAACAGATTTGAATGAATTATTTTTTTGTCGTTCCTTATTTCTGCATAAACTAGTGGAAGCAATGTTACAGCTGTGTTTTACCTTTCTCTTCAGCATCTCCGTGGTAATTCATCAGAGCTTGATATTGCCCAAGATTAAGGTCAGAGCTTGGAGATGATCCCCAAGAAGAGATTGGATGGGAAGAAGAAGCATTTAGATGCTGATTGTAGAAAGAAGATGAATGTGGGATCTGCTTGGAGCCTTGCACCAAAATGGTTTTGCCAAATGGCTATCAAGCAGTGTGCACCAATTGCTACTGTGATTGGTAAAAGTAAATCTCTTTCTTTCTTTCTTTCTTTCTTTGTAGCGCAAGACTTTGTATTGCTTTTTAAGAATTACAATGACAAGCTTGTTTGCATTGGCTAACCCAAAAAACAATGAACCAACTTCTTTTAAGAGCACCTGAGAGTTGAATTATATTAACAAAGAAACTAAATATATTCTTTTGGAAGATCCTTTGCTCTTTATCTTCATTGCGGTGTTAAATGTTTTCTGATTTTTCTGATATATACTGCCTTGGCTTGTACAACTTCTCATACCAACTAATACATGGAATTGCATCAGTATTATATTGTCATCAACCAGTGATGAAGCATACGAATTTACTGATATTATAATAACCTTTACTTGTAGGAGAATATAGACAAGAATGTGAGCCCCTCTTCGATTTTGAGCTATAAAAGTGGTTTTCAAGAACAGGAAACATAAAATTATATATATTTTTTACCCTGTTCCTAGAGAACAGTTTCCTGAAAACGCTCAATCAAGTGAAATTTTGAAATATTTTCTATTTCTATTTCTGCGAACAGAAAACACAAACACACACACAAAACACAAAAACCGGCCTTGTAAATTACCCTATTTTCCCTGTATAACTATGCACTATATGTACCATCCTGCTTCAGCTGTCCAATTTCAACTTGTAGTATGGATGATATATCGAGCTCATTTCAAAGTAGTATAAGCAGAAGTTTCAATTTTTCCTATTGCATGTTTAATTGACTTCCTGAAGCTACTACTTGAATACATGACACTGCATTTATAACTTATAGTCATTAGGGCATAGTTTTGCAACATAATGATGAAGAAATGTCTAATCCAATTTATAAAATTGTCATACTTCTCATGCATTCGCACAGCAACTGCTTCAGTAAATCAGTGAAATTGTAGTTTTTGTTGCTTTTCCCTTATGAACTGATTGACTCTGTGCAATTTTTGACGTATTTTCTAAAGGTGTAGATTTGCAATTTGATGTGAAAATACATTAATTGAGGTCTAATCTGTGCTTAGGAATGGTAAAGTATGTCTCTATGTGGGGATTCTTGTATCGATACTCGAATCCATGCATTGGAATGGAATTTATAATCTTGTACTAGAGATTAGGACCATTAGGTTTCCTAGGATGATTGCCCTATCAACCCCAAAACATTATGAAAATTTAATACCAACACAATGGCCATTCTACATTTTAGCTAAGGCTTCTTTGACTTAAGGTGACGCAATATCGCATCCCTTGCTGCTCAGTAAGTGAGTTACAGAATGGTAAATTGAAAGTGTCTCAGTATTGACAACAAGGCAGTGAAGCTTTACTGCATCAAGGATCCGTTATTTTAATATTAAATTAGTGCAATGAGCAAACATGAGAAATTTGTTGCTGTTTTGTCTTAGATAATGTGATTGTTGACAAGCTAATTTCATTGGTGAATTTGATGCTGTATTAAGTATTTGACATACTTAGAGAACTTTCATTTTCAGCTAATGTATCCCACTTCATAAAGAGAATTTTCGGCTAATGTGTCCCACTTCATTAAGGTGCTCCCATGGGAGATGCCTTCAACATACTCAAGGAAATACTAGGTCCTATGAAATACTTGGGATGGCAGAGTGGTAGCACATTAAGTTGGAGGCAGGACTTAACATCCTTTGAGTCCTTTGAAATACTAGGTAGGTTTTGGATTAGTGGCTGAGAAACAAAGCTCATTAAGGTGCTCCCATGAGATGCCTTAAACATACTCAAGTAAAGACAGTAATCCTGTACTTTAATGCCAACCGTGCATATTAATCGTTTCACCTCTGCTCAACCACTTGTGAGCAAAGGTGGTTGAACTTGAATAGCTTGCAAGAATCAGAGGACCGATGGTTCAAGAAAGACCATCCAATAGCACATTCATAAGATCATCCTATGAACATCAAAGGCATGACGATTGACAGAGTATGTTAAAGAACCCTCATTAATGTGTCTGAAGATGGGTGATCTTTGTCATGGTTCAGTAATCCTCAAACTGCCACCCCTCAGTCCTCAAGTTTGTCTATCATTATATCTATTGCCCCGTTGTGTTACGTGTGATATCTCCATCATTACTCGTTCTTTAGAAGCCACATATTGTTATTACCTTGAAGCTAACAGGGGATCATTTAACTTGAATTAATTAAAGCCTGGGTCCTTACTGACTGGTGCTTTGGCTATTCTGGTCGGATGTTGAGGTTCTAAATTTTAGAAGTCTTTTGTTAGATTACTTGGTATATCCTAACCTGAAGGAGGGCTTCATTGGGTAGGTGGCAAATTGTACCTGTATTCATTATTTATTTGAACATGTACCTAAAAGATCTTTTTCTTTCGTTCTTTCTGTTTTTTTTTTTTTTTTTTTGAAAAGAATTTTCAAACCCAGATTAATGAAAAGAATATAAATGCAATGACTTTGTGGTTGACTACTAGACTATATAAAGCTTTCTAGGTTCTAGTATGCCGTCGTGTTGGCATGCCTCTGTTTGTGGTTAGAATTCATTTAACTGAATCTTATGGGGTATTACCAGTCTGCTAATGAATGCCCTTATTTTTCACCAAAATAGCCATTTGAGATCAGTTTTAAACCTTGTCTGCTGATGCAAAATAGGATCTTGTCCGCTGACACAATTCCACGAATCATAATCTCCTAGGATCTCATCCCTTGATGCAACAAATAAATTGAACATAGAATGATTCACATCCTGAACTATAGTGGCAAGGTTTTTTTTTATATATATTTATTTGCCCTATATACATCCAGAAACGCTTTGATGAAATGATCACTTTTCATTTTCTTGCTATATTTGGCGATTCTGTGATGACTACAACCACTCTGTCTGGAAAGTTTTATTGACTGTCAATCTACTGACAACGTTTGCTATTGTTTTCAAATTAACATAGATGACAATGTTCTAATAGACAATGAGTTGATTTCAGATTTGAGTTTTTCTGATAACCGTTTGCCTTGACATTTAACTAGCTTAATGAAATTACATCTTAGCACAATGGTGAGGACATACAAAATAACGACACCATGTGCAATCTAGTTAGAAGAGTTCCTATTCTGGGGTGGTTATCCGGGAGCTCTTCTTGTGTTTGGTTTAACAGCCCTATTTTCAATAACCATAGGTCATTTAATCCGTTTCTCTTTATTAGCTGTAAGCTTCTGCTTCCATCTCTGTAGTTTTTAATCTTGTTTTGAGAGCGCCCTTAGTGAACTCGCACCCTCATCACCATTAGTTGACGTCAGACACGAGTTCTAGTGATGAAAGCGCAAGCCTACTGAGGGTGCCCTCATGAAAGACTTACTCTTGCATCTAACAATTTAGATGGAATTTACAATGCCTTGTTGAAACCAATGGAGGAAATAAGAAAATGCTCTAATACTGGGATTTTAGGCCTTGCTTGATACAATAATTCCTTTTGTTCATGCTGACATTTTTTTGTTGTTAAATAAGCTTATATCTTTGTCTTTAGAACCACTAGTTATTGAACTTATTTTCTATTGATCAATCTCTACCTCTTTATGAAGCGTTCTGTGCTTCATATACCCCTTCAATATGTTTTTCAGTTTGATATTTTTAATTGAAACTTCTAATCTAAGTACTGGTTCATATATGCTCCGACTTTTACATAAGAGAAATTGAAAGAAAGCTTCTAATATAGCATGTCCATCAAAGTGAGTTCATATATATTTCGAACTCAGTTTTCTCACATTTTATAGCATACTCGTTTTAATAAAAGTTGAACCTCCTAATTTGAGAACTTTCTGTTTCTTCTTAAATCTAAAAACTCTAGTGTTAAATGATCTATCTAGATCTCTCTATTCTTTTGATGGATCGATCATTAGCTTTGCCAAGTTTAACTGAAATTGTCAACTACCATAGTACACAATGTGTAAATCCAGCAAGTCAGTTTATCTCATTCTTTGGTATCTTACTCAGTTAATAAACAATCAAACCTCATTAATCTAATTACCAGTTGTATCAACATTGACTCTTTCGGTCTCTTCCTGCTTATAAAATTTAGATCTTCCTGTTCTTTAGATGGATAGATTCCAAATCGTGCCCAGTTGCTGAATGCTAATTTGTCAAACGAACACTTTTATCCTTCTATGTGATGTGTGAATTTGTGAATGTTCTAATTCTTTTAGATATGAGAAATTCAAGGAGTGCTTGTATTATAATTATAATATATATATATATATATATATATATATATATATATATATATATATCAACTGAGTTGCTACATTTATCCAACTACTGGCTCAGTTGTTGAGATAATGGTGACAACAACTACTAACACTCCCTATGTAATATGATGGTTATCAGTTCATCCCAATTGCTGTTTCCTGCTTAACAAGTAACTGAATGGAGGGTGAGTGAATGATCCATTGAGATATGAGTCAGAAACCGCCTTGTACATTGCTTCAGTGAGGTGAACTCCATCCCAATTGATGTACTGAGAAGGGTTCTTGCAGGAGCTCAAGGCCGGTGAGCCACATGCAGCAAACACATCAAAATTTAATGGCCTGCCACCAGATCCACAGCAAGCTTTGAAGAGCTCTTGGAAACCAAATCTTCCTGGATTCTTCATATGATCGTGTGGTAGACGTTCCAGTAATCAGCATAGACGATTACAGCATGAGGAAACTGTTTCCTGAGTTCTTGCAGCTTGAATTGGAGGATGGTGTTGTGGCTGGAACTCTGCCTGTATGCGCTCCCCACGCACCCAATCTCGTCTCTGTCGTCTTCAGGAGCGATTACCATGGCGAGTGGTAGACACCCCGTTGTGGGCAGACCTTGGACAACAATATACTTTGCACCCTTTGTCAACAATACCTGTGATTCAATCAATACAAATACACTTGATATTTCATGAATTCATAGTTGACTTAGAACTGTGGATCTGCATTGGCGGGAAAGCATAGATAACTTATTTGTTTGGGTAAATCACAAACTTTTTTAGAACAGGTCGGGTCAAATAGCAATGATTCGAAGCACTTCTTTTTACACTATTTCGGAAACCTAAGGACTCAATTATATGGATATGTAAAATACAGGATTTCCAATCCTAGCAGGAAAAGGAGGAAAATGGATACTTAATTTAAAATGAGTAAACAGAATTCTATACTCG